CACACTGCTCCCCTTCCTCATGCCGCCGTAGCCACACTGTGGATTAATGTTTTTAATTGTAGTTTTTTTTGTAGTTCCAGCTGTTGCAAACGTAGGGGGGGTAAAGACCATGGCCCGCCATCAAACAGAAACCACCCTCGAACCCAGGTTAGGTAGTTAGGCCCGTAGGGAGTCGACGATCAACTAACATGTATGTTCTTATAGCTGCGTAGTCGCAGTAGGTAAGGACGGGCTTGGCTTCGTTGCCGCTGGGACCTCTTTTGTCGCTTTCGCCGCCGCCAGCGTCGTGGCTTTTGCACGACTTTTTAAAGGGCCACGTCTGGTACGGCGCGGGGTATGGCGCGGTCTGCGTATAGACGTCCCGCGTGGGGTAGGGAAGTCAGCGCTCGCCTATGCGTCTCTCAGTCAGTCTACGCCTGCCGCCGTCGAGTCTGATCGTTAGTTCTTCGTTCTCCCGTTGTCGTTCGTAGCGGACTGCGCTCGTGCCGCCCGGTTTCAAGGAAGATGATGCATGCGTATCCAGGGTATGGAAGCCCAAGGAAGCCAAGCGGATCCAAACCACGTCTCTTCCCCCGTAAGCCATGACGTCCCTGGGATCAACCCGTGACGCGTAGGTCGTTTTAATAGTTTTCGTAGTTGTTGTAGTTCTTGTAATAGTGTTATTGTATTTCTATTTCGTACTGAAATATATGAAGGGCCATATGTGAATGTTGTGTTGCGTAAGAAGATCGTTGACGGTGCATACGCCGTAGTATTCTTTATCCGTATTGATTAGTATAAAGTCTAGTTGTCCGTAGGCCGGATCGCACATGAGGGAATGATGGTTCGCGTAGTGCGATGGTTATGTGGGAGTAGCGTAGGGGCCGCAAGTTCCATAATCAATTCCCGCGTGGCAGAGAGAGGTAAGACCCCGATGGAACCCTCACGCAGACGCCAACGCCGCCTCATTCGCGGGTGAAGCCCGATGCTTACGAGCGTATGCAGGAGGCAAGGCGTTCGCGCCGGCGTGACACAAATAATGTCAAGGATCAGCCCTCACTTGCCTAGGAGTATCACCCACTATCCTCTCTTTAATGCTTCAACTACTTTTGAATACTTCTAGAAATGAATCAGAAGTTCTCATGGTTGAGAGGTCGGACGAGAACAAGTTGCCGCTAACGACAAATTGGCGCCTGGAGTCCTTTCCCCTACGCATCATAAGGTCACCACAGTTCGATATTTCGGATCACGTGTTCCGTCAGGACAGATGAGGAGATCTATAGGAGATGATGGGTGGGACTCCCTTCATCTCATTTTCTTCAACTAGCCTGAAGATCCACGAGGTCCAAAATGTGGAAGCGATCAACACTCACCTGCTCAATAGACAACTCCTGAATTTTTATAACAAATTTGTCAGTTTTTTTAACATCACAGTTAGCTTGATGAGTGCTCCTTAGGGTTTCAGGTACATTTACCGCGCCGTATGTACGTCAGGATTTCCCGCGAGATTCCAAGGCGTACAAGCTTTTCCTCTTCAAAACTGTCGTGACCGACCTCCCTCTGGTCGACTAGAAGAAAATAGCGTGCTCCAGGGCCAATGTGCACTCAACATGTCAAACGCGTCAAGCCATGTCAATGGCTTCAATTTATGTGCTGACTTGTTGCGTTGTTTCGCTCCAAAATTGTTGTCACATGTTTCTCAAATAAGCTTTCCAAGTGTAAGCCTACTGCCCCAATTTCGTTTGACATCGCATTTTTCCCCAATTTGAGCACGTTGACAGAACAGCTGTTAAGGGACTAATAGTCCAGCGCTAAGGCCCCAAGGACTCAACCCAAGATTAGATCAGTGGAGTGTAGCCCTAGCACAAATATTGTAGAGGAGCTGGCGACTATGTGGGTCGTTCTAATCCCGCGGCACGAAATCGCCAGGCAAAAGCGTTAATGCGTCAAGTTCTCATTAAGGATTCCCACAGCACATTGGTTTCGCCCACGACTTGGCGCCATAGGCCAGGCTACCCGTCCCGCGCGTATCCATGCTCTCTCGCCTTTGATTCTTTTCCTTCTCTGCAGTATCTCTTCAGCTGTCCCTCCACTAGAATCCTTCACAGTCCAAGGAAAGACCCTTCATTTTTAGGGCGATCGGTGATTTTTTTTCTTCACTATCGATTTCCAACTCAATCTTTTGTGGCGGAAGGCCATAACCCAAAGGCTCTGCCGAAAGTGATCACTCGAAATAATCAGAACAAACTATTTAGCATTGAAATTCTCAAAAGGTAGAGCAAAATTAGCGCTTTTTTGGTAGTAATGGAAGGTTCACTAACCAGTAAGGAATCGTCTGTAGTGTTCAGAAGAAGAATAGCATAGGCAGGCCTGATATAAATGCGATCATTCATGACGTTCACGTTGAGACTTCGCAGATCGTGGAGGAACTGCGCCAACCTTGTTGGCATCGGTATCGAACCAGTGGCGATTCTCCATGCACGAGATATGCAGAACGCCTTTTCTCGGTTATCAATGCCCATTATCCTGAAAAAGCGACAATGAATCTTTGCCGCAAGAGTCTGAAGACTCAATCGCTTGCCAATTCGTTGAACAGTTTAGGTACTCTCTTGCGACGACGTGAAGATGTTCAGCGACGAAAAACTTGTGGGTTCTCATCAACAATTCCAGCTCAACGCGAGCCGCTCTCGAGTACCATTCTATCAAATCCTTCGAGCGATTGGAAGATGTACTCTGAAGATCAGTACTAATTTCAGTGGGTGAAAAAAACGTGTTTCTAACAACTAAATAAAGTTTCCTATAACTTGGCGCTGAAAAATTCCTCACTAATGGTAAGCAGATACAGGCACGAGCGGTATCCACAAAGTCCGGCAAAATTCTGTGTTCATCTCAACAGTATCTATTGAATATCTGGACGAAATTTCGTCATTAAGCCAATGTACATAGGAATTCGTGGAGTTCACTGAAGCAGCTGGGGTCTTCGCAACCACTGATTATCAAACAAGGTCGAAAATTCAGGCAATGGGCCACCGGTAGTCCCAGTCATTGCCGGTTGGAAATACTTTATGGTCCACAACGGCGATCAACAACATCTGCAGTATCTTCAGTAAAAAGAATTCTGTGAAAGTCGAGGTCTATATTGCCACCCATGAGATTGCGCCCATACGACGACATAACATGCCGACGCTGGGGT